AAGTCCAGTAGACTTTGGGAAAATCGAGTATTCACTGACTTTGAATTAACAAAGTAACTTGACCCCTCTGTGTTTTTTTTGTGTTTTTTTTTTTTGCTTGGTTTAGAAAGTATTGATTTTTATATCAGTCTATAATTTAGGGTTTTGATTCTCAACTTTTAGTGTGCACAAGGCTCCCTGAGGAAGAGATGCTTAAGCCCACCCTTGGAAATTGGCGGCAGTAGGTCTGAGAGACCGTGGGCATATTTTAATGCCACAGATAGTTTTGATGAGTAATACAGGACACGAGTCATCAATAGAGGTAGAAAATCAATATCTGAGCCATTAACTAATTAAAAGTCAGATTGTATGTTACCAAAAAGATTTTTTCTTTAAATTTGAAGGAATGTTAATATTTTGAATTTATTGCTTTTCTGGATCATAAATTGGGCCATTCTTACGTTGCTTGGGCTATTACTGCAAAATTACTATTCTCTCTAAACATTTTAGTCATGTTGACAGTCTTACTGTCTGACCAGGTTTTCCTATATTAATATTTCCAGTGTCTTTAATCTCTTTTTTCTTGCAATATCTTTTTTGCTTAAATTCCAGTTTATCCGTGCCCATGTTTTTAAGACAGTATACGTACAGACTTAGTGGATGTGTTCCATAATTTTTAAATGGCTGTGCGCTTCAGAAAGGCCTAGGTGGAGGTCTGATAGTACCTTTTAGTTCACAGAGTATTTCTCTGCACATTAGTAGCAAGTAACATTCTTTGCTTATATTTATGAACTCTGGGCAGACCAAGCCAGAGCTTACGACATGCTGCTGCTGCTCTTAGGGTGTAGGTGGTTACAGGGCTACAGCCTCTGTCCAGGATGTGGCTCCCGTTTCTTGTCTAATTATGGTTCCTTTAAAGAGTTGCATTTTCAACCACAAGGTCAAACATGCTCATAACTCAGTCCTTAGTAAGGTGTTTTCCAAGTGATAACATTACTATTAACAAAGTGAATGATATGCTTCACCTTGAAGATACTCTTGTTTTGTTTTTTGTTTTATAATAACGCCACTCTGGTTTGCCTATATTCCATTATGTCTCCTCGAGTAGAGGAGAGGGAACTAGGTTACCCATTGTTACCAAAGTTGTGCATAAGAACCCTTGGGGATGTGTGGAACACAGGACTATGATGGATTGTGTCTATCGCTTTGGTTAAAAAGGTTGAAAGGGGCTCTGAGATGGAGTTTTGCATGTGGTGGTCTAGTGGGTTGGCCTTTCTGAGAGGTCCAGGGGACCGGACTTGTGTATTGTGGGTATTGGCGAGTCCCTGGATGTAGACTGCCCTCCAGGAGGGGATGCAGCCTTAGATGAAGCATCTTGTTTGGCCAGTGGCAGTGCCTGAGAAGGGACTCAGCTGCAAGCCAGCAGCAGGCAGCGTTCTGGGCATCGGGGGGTGAGTGTTGTGGGCCCAGAGAGACAATGTGAGTGACCCACTGCAGATCCTCACAAAGCCGCTGGTAGGCTGTCTTGCTAAAAAGATTCCCAGTGCACAACATGAGACTTCAGCACTTGTTCTCCTGGCCTGGGAGACCTTCCTTTGGTATACTGGTTCCCCTTTTTCCCCTGCCAATCCCCAGCCAGTGTAGCACAGGGGAGGTTGTTTACTTAAAGTCTGGGACTTGTTCTGTTTGGGATTGACCATCATTTTGGAGATTAGATAAAATTCTAAGAGCCCAGTTACTTTTTAAAAAAAGTTTCATTTTGTAATGTTGGCATTGACATTAATTATAATTTTAATCAATGCTTCAAAACAATTGTTGCCCTTCAGAACTTAGAAATGACCAAGAACTATCACAATTGGTGCACTGACAGTGAGACGAGCATGGTGTATCTGATCTTTCACTGTGTATGACCTTTTAAACTTGATTCTTTTTAAAAAGCCTCCTCAGAAAAGACCTGTTGTATGGACATCAGCAGTGTTCAGACTCCTGGATTACTTAGCCTCTGCTATCCCAGCCCCGGACAGGGAGACAACTTTCTCTGTAAACAACGAAGTGGTAGGGGAGTGTTTTGGGATGTGCATCTAATCAGTACACATTTGTTGATGGAAAAGGAGTTGGAGTGTCACTCAAGGAAAGAAAATGGCAATATTACCATTCTGTTATTGTGTGCTTAGCCCTGTACTTACTTGTGCCAAGCCCTTCCCATGTAATCATCCTCTCCTTTTTTCTTTTTTTTAAATCCTCACCCAAAGATACGTTTTTCCATTGATGTTTAGAGAGAGTGGGAAGGAGGGAGAGAGGAAGGTGTGTGTGTGTGTGTGTGTGTGTGTGTGTGTGTGTGAGAGAGAGAGAGAGAGAGAGAGAGAGAGAGAGAGGGAAACACCAATGTGAGAGAGACATATTGATTGGTTGCCTCCGCATGCCCCTGACCAGGGCTGGGAGCCTGCAACCAAGGTATGTGCCCTTGATCAGAATTGAACCTGGGGCCCCTTCAGTCTGCAGGCTGACACTCTATCCACTGAGCCAAACTGGCTAGGGCTCATTTTATTCTTAACGTACCTCTTCGCAGGTAGTTATACCCTGTTTTGCTGATGAGGAAACTGAGGCTCAAATGCATTTAGCCTGGTCTCATGGCTGGTCAGGAGGAAGAGCCAGGATTATCAATCAGTTTGAATCTTTGCTCTAAACTTCCGTGCTATACTGCCTCCCAGAGGTCTCGGTAGTTGGGATCAAGGAAGTTGGTGGCAGGGTTGGAGAATGCTAAGCTAGAGGCTCTGTTTTCTAGGATGAAAATAGGAGATTGGCCAACTGAATAGGCAAAAGGGGGAAGGCTGCTGCCACCAGAAGTAAGACTTTCCCGCATCAAAGTAACTAAAAAACACAGGTGACTTCTCATGCTTCTTCACAGTGGTGTCAAGTCCAGGCCCTGTCTACTGGTCCGTGGGTCCCGAAGGGGCCGACGGGAGGAAGCAATGCCAGCCCGTCAGCAGTGAAAGCTGAGCTCACGGGCGCAGGCTTTCTTTGTCTTCGTTCTACTTGTGTGAGAACAAGGAACGTTTTTCTCTCTTTCCTTTTATGAGCTGGCAAGGTGGATGTTTCCACTCACCGGAGTCAGATAATCAAAAGAGAAGCAGGGAGAAGTCCCGGGTTGCAGATGACAGTCTCACGCCTCGTGGCCTCCTGCCTCGCCTGCCTGAGGCTCACTCTGGGGGGGTGTGAGGAGCCGCAGTCGCATCTGGGGTAGAGAGCGCGATGCCTCTTTTTCTCGATGAGGAAAGCCAGTTAGTTGTAAGAGGCTTCCTAGCCTGACATCAGAGTGCTGACTTCTCATTATTTTTTTAGGCAAGGATCCCTTTGTCTTCCAATTGCACTGACAGATTTTTTCCTGTTTCCCCCCCCTCCTTGTATAGCCAACATTTCTCTCTTGATTTAACATTCTGTTCCTTCTTTACCCACAGAGAACGGTCAACTCTTAACTCTTTTTCCCCTAGAGACCCTTTTTGGCCTCACACTTAGCCTTGCACTGTTTTTGTAGTTAAATATAATACTTTCTTATGCCCTGGATTATCTATTAGCCCCGAGACTCCTAGGTGAATGGAAAACATGATACCAGAACAATCTTTACCTTGAATCTTGAAGGGTTTAAATCGGTGCTCACACTCCCTTAAAAATGCTGAGACTTCAGCCTTCTGATAAATAATTGTTATACTTGAGTGATGAATTAGTAATTTGTTTGCAACCAGTAAGTCACTGATGTCAGCCAAAGCTTATTAAAGATGAATTTTATTAGCAAGTTCTGTTGGGACCGAGAGCACTGCTTTGCCTAGCTGTGCAGAAGCAAACACCAAAGGGAGCTTTGGCAGGTGGATTCGGGAGCAGGCAGAGGGTTGCATATGTACATTTGGTTTTCTTTTCTGTTTCACACTCATATTTCTTTGTGCTACCAGGATCGTCATGACAGCCTTATCTCTCAAATAAAGCCTGTTACCTCATCCCTAATTGCTTATCCAAAGGCAGGCGAGCTCTAATTTCTCCGCATTAATAAATGACACCGAAGAAGAACTGCTTTGTTTGCACTGGCTCGCGCAGGTTAACCAGTGTGAGCCCCCGGTGCATTAGGAAACCCCGTGCTTCTCCCGCGGCCAAGGCGGGCCGGTTTTCACCTCGCTCTAGGGCAGCGTTTCATTTATTTACTTTTTGCTCATGTTCACGGCCCTATTCCCCTTTCCCGATGAAAACACTTGCGTGACCTAGGTCAGCATTTCTCCTGTGGCTCTGGGGCACTCCCCTCCAGTTGGAAGGGCCAGGGCGTTGGTAGCAGTTGTCCTAAGAGGACCGATGGCTGATCTCCTTTCATGGCTCACTCTTGGCTGCCTGCTGCTTACTTTTCCATAGAGACCAAGAGGCTTCCCACAGACCTGTGCACAGATACCCACGATATACCACCTGTAAGATCCACCTGCTGCTCCTTTTGAAGCACAATGGGAAATGGTCTTGTGGATTTCATACATGAATGTGAGGGTAGACTTGCAGTAGACCTGGGCGGGGGGGGGGGGGGGGGGGGGCGGGGAGGGGTAGGGCAGAGAATTGAGAATGGTTGTTCAGTTTAGAGTTAGTTCTATGACTGAGCTCTGCTGAATAGTGACAACCCTTGGCTCCCTGGGAAACACCATCATCACTCTTGTCGTCACCTAAAAATATCTCTGGTAATTAAAAGGGCCTATAGCCGAAACCGGTTTGGCTCAGTGGATAGAGCGTCGGGCTGAAAGGTCCCGGGTTCGTTCCGGTCAAGGGCATGTACCTTGGTTGCAGGCACATCCCCAGTAGGGTGTGCAAGAGTCAGCTGATCCATGTTTCTTTCTCATCGATGTTTCTAACTCTCTATCCCTCTCTCTTCCTCTCTGTAAAAAAAAAAATCAATAAAGTATATATAAAAATAAATAAAAATAAAGGGCCTGTAGATATGAGCATTTTAAAGTCTCAGAATTGTAAGCTCATTGCTTTTCTCCTTTTCTTCTCAGAATGAAATGGACGATGTGCCCTTCTTTGATATCCAACTGCCTTATGAATTGGCAATCAATATATTTCAGTATCTGGACAGGAAAGACCTGGGAAGGTGTGCACAGGTAAGCTGTCATTAACCGATATTCAAGATCTACCTACATATGCCATTAAAGTATAGGAAGCTCCTCCATAACAGAAATGTACTTACCAGAATGTCCAGCTTTAAAGTATTAATGAATCGGGTAGCATCTTAATGCAAAGGAAAGCAACCTTGAACTTGTGTTCAACCTTGTTACTGGTGTTTATCTTTTTGTGACCCCCTGCAGTCTGAGTCATGGCTGACCTGTGGCTGTGCGCTCCAGGCTGACAACTCCGTGCGCCGTCTTTATTGAGCTCGCCTGAGCTGCTAATGTCCTCACCGTTTTTAATGCAAAGATGCCAGCCCTTGGTTTAATCAAGCCAGTCGTTAGGTTGGGAGCTGAAGGTCAACCTGGGGACAAAACAGTGAAGTCATGTTTCAGGCATATAGTCCAAATTACTCTTTAAACACCAGCACCGCACTCAGTGAGGTGTGAGGCACGTGAGACCTGAGACCCACCGAGGGAATTGCAGGCCAATGACACCCATCCCGTGCTTATCTGGAGCGCACATTCATGGAGAGGGATGGTGGGAGATAGCGTCTGGGCCAAACCGTATTGTGCACATGCGTCACAGGGGATCTTGATAAAATGCAAATATGGGTTCAGGAGGTCCAGGATGGGACCCAGTAGTCTGTGTTTCTAACCAGGTGATGCCACTGTGCCTTTGGCATGATTTAAGAGGCAAGATTAAAATTAATCTCTTCTCTTGGTGAAGAGCATGTAATTCCTCACAAGCTAAATGTGTATATGATTGCTGGCTTTTCATGGACACCGTGGTACCTATTGTCCATAACTGCCAAACAGATAACTTGCTTAGTGATTACCAGTTCCCACCTCTGATTTCAATAATGTGTTTTGCACAGTGTCTGTACCTTTAAGAGAAAGGGTTTGGTAAGGTTGAGTGATAGGAGAAACATACACTAAAATCCAAAGCCCCACCAAGAATGTGAAGTTAAAAACATTAAGGCAGTTTGAGAGTGGTGAAAACTCTTGCCAAATTGAGACTCTAGTGCTTGCTCTTTCTGTGGCAGTTCAATGAAATCACACATAAAACGGGACAGTTTATAGTTTCTGCTTTTACATGATTTTTTATGAAGCATTTTGCTTAATCAAAATTACAGAGCAGCGCAAAAGTAGGTTTACAGTTGTTTGCATGGAAAAATAATGCAATAATTTACAAATAATAATATAAGAATAAACCTCGTGTTTCACGTACTCAGAACCATAAACCTACTTTTGCCATACCCTGCATTTTTCTACTTAAATGTGTAATTGAAAGAGTCTTCAGTGTTCTTGATTGCCACAGTATCATTTCGGTGGGGGTGTTAGCAACTCTCTTTTGATGCACAGTGTGGAAATCTTCGGGAAATTACGGAAGAAATTATTCAAAGGCTAAAATGCACAAAATGAAAATGTACTGAAGTGTACACCACGCTCAGGGCCTATCGATTACATTGAGTAAGAGTGCCCACATTGTCTTCTCTTTCCCCCTGCAAACTGGGTTTGTTATATTCTAACTTTACACATTGGCCCGGTTCCCAAGAGTTGAAAACAAGGGTGTAGCTGAGCGAGTCCAACTCCTGGATGTCAGCCTGATACTGTGAGCCGGAGTCTTGGAATAGCGTCTAATAGCTCGCTGCTTTCCACAGAGTCAGCATTAGACGATAAAATCTCCACTCCTGATAGGGAGCTGCTGTTTAAGGAATCTTTTCTTCTAACATTGCTTTTTGCTCTCCTGCTTTGTAGAGGGCCATGTGGCTTTCACATCTGCTGCTGGTTTTCTCATCCAAAGAGTTTATCAGCGAAAGATAGGATCTAGTTAGTGGAAGAAGAGATCCCCCTTTCACTACAATGGGGCTGCGTTTCAGGGAGATTGCTTATGCTGCAGGTGTGAACAGTTTAATTCGCAACACAGTAGTCCAATTGTCCACCAGAACTCTCCTCTCTTTGGCCAGTTGGATTTGTATTGTTGTTTTTCAGCCTCATTTTTAGAGCACATGTAGAAGAGTAGGAAATATTTTAAACAGAACCCCTAACATGGCTCTTTTTTGAAGCCAGAGCTTTTCCCATAGAGCTGTTACATGAGGATGGCCATGGATGGCCAGTAATTTGTAGAATTGGCTTTGTTTTTCTCAAGAATTAAAATAAACCACAAAGTAATAAAAATAAGTAGCATTTTTATTTGTTTCGTGTGGTGTTTTTATTTTTGAAACAGGGAAGAAGTCCTTCTGTTGAATGGACTGTCCTGCTGCTTTATGACTGTTTTAGAGGGCTCTCTCTCTGTCTCTCATTCTCTCTGAATGTAGCCACCGTGGGGCTGCAGTGAAATGGGCCAGCTACGTGGCATTGGCACCGTGAACTATATGTGTCCCCTTGGAGAAAACCTGTTTGCTTAGATCTTTATGCCAAACTGGTAACTGACTCACAGTAAGGAACCCTGATCGGGGAGGACTTTTGAGTTTTAATTATGCCATAGACTATTCTGGAAAATGGATTTTGCTCTGACTTCGTCTCCTTTCTGCATCCCCTCTTTCTGCTTTTTGCGCCCACTCAAACCTAAAGTCCTACGCGTTAGTGATTCCAGTGTACTTTCAATGCTGCCCTCTCTAGCTCCACGCTATCAATAGTTATCCCTTGAGGGACTTAGCATCTCTGTGAGAGTGTATCATGCTGAAATATCTCAAACAGTAAGCAAAGTTATGCATTGGGCATTTCATTGAACAGCTTTATTATCTTGCTCTTTATAATTTTATGCTCATTTTATTGTATGTGCCTACAGGATTCCTGGCACTTTAAAGGATAGTATTTTTGAATGCATAACAATTACAAAGTTGTCGATTTCAAAACTATAAAAAATAATTTGGTTTTTATGAGAAGTGAAAGTGTGGCATGAATAATTATGGCATGAATAATTCTGATGAGTAAAGGCTTGTATATATTTATCAACATTATTTTTAAAAACAAAATAATTTTAAATTCACAGGGAGATGCAAAAAAATAATAGAGAGGTCCTGTGTACCCTCCCCCCAAATTTTCCCACTGCAAGAACAATATCAAAATTAAAAAAATTGGTGTTGGTGCAGTCCACAGAGCTTATTCACGTTTCACCAGTTTTCCAGGCACTTATTTGTGTGTGTAGTTAGTTCTGGGCAATTTTATCACAGGTGTAGATTCATGTGACCACAGTGAAGGTATAGGACATTCATCAACAAGTCACAGTCACCTCAGCCCTCGTCCATTTCTAACCCCTAGCAGCTGTTAATCTGTTCTCCATATCTGTGATTCTGTCTTTTTTGATATTCATTTTAATATGTATTTTAGTTATTTGTTTTCCTAATAATTTTAGAAGTTTAGCTGGTAGATAATTTTGTTTTTCAAGCAAAGGGTAGAAAATTGTGCATAAAGAAAGCAATAAAGAAAAACGCAAGATGTGGAGATTAAAAACTTAAGATTTATGATAAAATTGGTGAGCAAGAAGTAGGTGTTATCAAAATAAATAAGTAATTGTGGAACTAAAACCAGTATAATAGATGATAATATTTCAGATTTCAAGGAAAGTGTGATTTTATAGTCTTCCCATATGTCCAAATAGGAGAAACTATAAGCTGAGGTTTTATAGTTAGAGATCTTAATGAAGTCTTTAAGTGTAGGGGATCCATAGCTACGTGCAACTAAATTGATTTTCATAGCAGAAATGATTCTGAAGACCTGTCGTTGCTGGCAGGGGTCTCTTCGTTCTTAGTTTCACCTTGGACCAGACTTATCTCCAGGAAACAGGTGCAAGCCTGAGACCCGAGCAGCGTCAGGAGCTTCCTTTTAGCCACCAGGTTGCAGCGGCTGCTGCCTTCTAAGAGGGGTAACGGAAAAGCAAAGAACTCTAGCAGAAAAAGTAGGGAGCTAGATGAAATGAAATGGTAGAGTCGTATCGATAATCCTTTCAACTGATGGGTTCTTGGGAGTTCTTTATACTGTTCACTTTATTTTAAAAAAATGTTTTTATTGATTTTTAGAGAGAGAGGAAGGGAGAGGGATAGAGATAGAAACACTGATGATAGAAGAACTTCATCTATTGCCTACATACCTCCAACTGGGGACAGAGCCCCCAACCTGGGCATGTATCTGACCGGAAGCAAACCACTGAGCCATGACGGCCGGGCACTGTTCACTTTACTTTTGTGTTGAAGTTTTTCATATCAAAAAGTTTAAAAGAAAAGGAGAAAGCAAGAGATTGTTTTTGAATAAGGAAGTTGGAGCCTCCTGAAGTTAGCACACGCTGAAGCTGACCTTTGAAAATACAAGCAATCCAGTTTTTTGTTTTTTTTTTAAAATATATTTTATTGATTTTTCACAGAGAGGAAGAGAGAGGGATAGAGAGTTAGAAACATCAATGAGAGAGAATCATCGATCAGCCGCCTCCTGCACACCCCCCTACTGGGGATGTGCCCGCAGCCAACGTACATGCCCTTGCCCGGAATCGAACCTGGGACCTTTCAGTCCGCAGGCCAACGCTCTATCCACTGAGCCAAACTGGTCCCGGCGCAATCCAGTTTTTTAAAGTATTTAATAATAATGATAAAAAATTGGACTTACTCTTCTCATTCAGGTGTTTATATGTGCCTACTGTGTGCCGGTACACAGTAGGCATGGAAAACAAATAGCAAATGGCAGATGTAAAAGGCTCTCTTATCAGTGATTACATTAAATGTAAATGGACTGCATGGAAGAGTGCAGAATCTCAGAGGAAAGGCAGTGGAGGTGGTGGGTGGAAGGTAATCAACCAAAGACCTTGAATGCACGTATGCCTAATGCATGGACAAAGACAATAAGGTGCTGAAGGCCTGGAGAGGGGGGAGGGAACAGGAGGGGGGAGGGAGGTTAGGGACGGGCTAGAGGGGGTCTATGGGGAGGGGAATGTAAATGGACTTAAGTATTTCTAGACAGTGAGTAGAGCAGTGAACAAAACGTAAGAAGAAACCTGTCTT